ATCGGGGCAACGATCGAAAGTATTATTCAAAACTGAGAAACGTTCGATTCGTCTTTTTTTTTTTTATTTTTTTTTTTTAGAAAAAAAATATTACGTTTGGGGAGAAAATATCGAAGAAATTTTAAATGTCGTCAAAATTTTGAATAAGGTAACGTTATATATCGAATAGATGAAAGCTTTCGAGGCGACGGAAGTTCGTTTCCGAGCCCGATGAATAATTACTTTTTCCTTCATTCCACATCCGTCAGTCACTCAGTTCCAGGCGTGTACCTGCTACGTGAACGGACGTAAATGCGAGTGAAATCCTAAAAAAATTGGAACTAACTTTTTGCTAACTTGGAACTAACTTTTTTTCAGATATCGGATTGTCGAGTAGAGGAGGAAGGGTACGATAATCGAAGAAATATAAGAATAAAAATTTCGGACAACGATCGATTGCTATAATACACGACTTGACATGACGACTACTAATTATAATATTACACGGATAATCGGAGAAAAATTGCAGTTACTCTTACGTTTTCAAATCGATGATACCTAAAAATGTCCGTTGTAATCGTTTACCAGCAGGATGTTGCGAAAAGAAACAAATCCTGCGCCTTATTGCGACTATTCGAACCATGGAACAAATCCTGCACCTCCAAAATCCTACACCTATAGAATCGGTCTCTCGTAATTTATATTCATTCGAGATAATTTAATTCCTCGATTCCAACGTTTCGCTTTTATTGGAGCCCGTGGAAACTCGTGCGTGAATTTATTCCAAAATTTCATTCGTATGTATCGCGAACAGTTTTTTTTTCTTTGCGTCGCAGAATCAAAAAGGAGAGACGAAAAGAGAAGAAGAAAAATAAAGAAATCGCGCTACGATACCGATCTGTCTCTTGCTGATCATCTCGAATCTACGTATCGACGTCCAAATTAGAGAAGAGATAATCCTATCTTCAATCCCTCTTCAACGGAAAGACCGAATAACCCCGATTCGTGGACCAATTACGAACGTGTACACCCCGGATCGGATCGGCGATAAAAACTTGGAGAAGTTCGGATCGTTTTTCCGCCCCCTCGCATTCTTTCACGCTGTTCCACACCCTTTGAGGCCGGCCGCACGAGCTTAATTATACGAAATAATTACACGACGTACGGGTAGAAAATGTAGGAGCGAGCGGGGGGAGGGGGAGGGCACGTGAATCGCGTTCACCGTGGATTGCGGTCGGCCACGAGGCAGGCAGGCAGCTGCAACTGCGCCAGTCGTGGGTGCAGCTGCAGGGAGATGCAGTTTCGCGGGTGCTCACGGCGGGGCCTGGCCGGGGTTAAAGCGGGTTTGAAAAAGGAGAGTCACTCTGTTGGCGCGTAATTATGCCGCGTGCTGCCCACTTGTATTATGCCGGTTGATGTTGATGAAAACGCGCGCGTCGTTTTTTCTTTTTTTTTTTCCAAGCCACGAAAAATGATTATGGTAATTGCGACGATCACCACGACGAGCACCACGTCTTCTCCCCGTCTCTTCCGGGCAAAGCGTCGAGAAGGGAAGTCTCGAGGGAAAGTGGATCAAAGTTTTGACGCGTGAGGGTGAGGGATGAGGGGTGAGATTCTTGAATGCCTCGAGTTTGAACGCGACGCGCGTGCGTTCAATTTGAAGGGAAGGAGAGCGCGTGTGTGGTGCGATTTCGCGAAAATCCACGTGGTGAATCTTTTTCGGATAAGAAAAAGAGTTTGTGAAATGTCGTCGTGGAAAAAAAAAAAAGAAAACGTAACACGCGCGAAATGGACGAAATTTATCTATTGTATCGACTTTAATTCTACTTTTGTCTTTATTAGAGATTCGTCTGTATCCAACGAATTTTACGATACATTCCGTACTTTCGAAATTTTGCCTTCGTGATTTAAGAGTTTATGGAACACATTCGCTCAACTCGCGCTCGTCAAATCGTAGATGAAAATATATATATATATACATATTTCTTCGACTCTGGCGCACCACGTGTCATCTCCCCCTCCCGCGACATCGAATCTACGTTTGAAGAAAGGGTAGGAGCGAGAAGTCATCGTTATTCAAAGATCACGGACGCGTCTCAATTTCCTTGAGAGAAGTTTCCGCTTTGTGGACCCCAGTCAAATACGCGTGGAAAGAGGGCTCCCGTTCACTCTAAGTATTTTCCCAGCTTCTCGAGCCTTTGAACGCGAATCCCCTACATTTTTCCAACTCTTCCTCCTCCTCCTCCGTCCACCCCCTGTTCCGTTGGCCTGGTAAATCTGCGCTAAAGCGTAAACGTATTTCAGGCCTTCGAGATCCAGCGAGACGTGAATGTAGCGTGGGGTAGCGTGGAAAAAGTGCGGCCAAATCGTTTCCCCGACGGCACACGGATCGCTGCAAAGAGATTATCTCGGTAAGCAAGCCTCACGAACCATTTGATCGCCCGTTTCACCCATTCTCTCCCTCCGTTTCCGTGGCGAGATTCGCCGAGACATCGGCCAGATCTCGTTTCTCTCCTCTTCCTTTTTGTCTCTCTCCCTCTCTTTCGTTCCTCTTCTCCATCTCCCCCTCTCTCCTCCGGCTCGTGCACTTTGCAAAACGAGTTCTGCCTCGAGATCAAGTCGCGCGAGAGAAAACGTCCACCGAAGAAGAAGAAGAAGAAGAAGAAGAAGAAGATATCGTATCTCCCCCTTTTGCCTGTGAATCTGTGTGTGTCGAATGTTTAGCCGATCGCTCTTCCCCTCCTCCTCTCCTTTTGATTCTCCTCGAGATGAGATCGCGACCGTTACCCATTAGATTAACGTGTACTCGAAGCGAAGTTTAATAAGAAATTATGAGGACGTCGTTATTGGTTTTTTTTTTTTTACGACGCGTTTTGGATTTTCCCCGATTCTTCCGAGATTCCTCTCGATCTCGCGCACCTCGTATTTTCTTCCCCACTCGATTATTCCCATTTCCGGAAAGGAAACGGAGATCGAAAAAAAAAAAGGGAAAGAAAAGAAGAAAATTCATTTCATCGCTTCAAGGAAATTACAACTTGGAATTATTTATTGGAAATATTATTTATCGATGAAACGTTTTTCGCGACCGGCACCCATTTCTTTCGTCTTCAATTGACAGAATTTCGGTACAATGATAAATTATTGCCGGGAAACGTTTGCTCGGGCTGTTCGTATTGTTTCCGGCAATTTTTCAACAACAATTACGCTTCGAAACGTCTAAACAATGGAACAGGATTTTTGCTTTTTTTCCAAACACCTCCTTTTTTTTTTTCCGCGTTGGAAGAGATCCATGATGTTTGCGCAGCCAGGAATCCGTGACATTTCTGTAATCCCCCCTGAATGCTGTTTTTCACGCAAATTATTCCACCCGTGTTTCCTATCCCTCCTTCTCCATAAGAATCGGTATTCGTTTTCCGCGATAACAGCAACGTTTTCGAAGCGGATCGCGACCACTCTCTTGATTCACGTCGCGTTTACGTCACGCGTGAAATCGACCAGGCGCGTGTTTAACGAACACTTGAGATTAGAGTGACTCGCTGCGGATTATCGGACGTGTAAAACGTCTGGTTGTACATCGCATATGGTGTCGTCGAGGATCGTTTCCAGTACTATTAATTAATATCGTTCGATGTTCGCCATTTGAATCTTCGCACGCGACGCCGCTTCCACGGTTACGTTACGTTCTACGCGCTCTGATGCGACGATTACTTGCAACGTGCTTGCAACTTAGGGATAATGGATCGTCCCTGATTCGACGCGTCGTCTTATCGACGGCGAGAATTAATTTTTTGGGGAAATCTGTCTGTTAGAAGAATATAATATAACAAGCAGCGCGAAGGTTACGAAGAAATTTACGAAGAAAACGAAGAAAAACGAATGTATCGTTGGAATATATATCGTTGGAATATCGTTATATCGGTAAATGTAATTGCATTGTGCATTTACAAAATTGTATATTCAAAATTTCTAAAACCAACGACACGTTAAACCGGAAAATTCGCAGTATTTCAATTGAATCGTTCCCCGCTCTTTGGACAGGGCTTGTATTTGTTTTAATAAAATTAATTTGCTTTGTTTTGCCAGACTCCCCTTTGCGAATAGGGGGGGAGAGGCTGGTGAACACGAGCCAGATGAGAATGTACATTTCATATTGGCCCGTAAACGCTGCATTAATCGGTAACGAAAAATAATTTCCGCCATTTACTCGAAAGGGAATTTACTTGAAAGAGCCGCTTTTAACGGATGAAAAATAACTCGCGAAAAGGAAGAGACATTTCCAGATATTTCATCCTCCCTGTATTTTTGCTAGTTTACGAGTACTCGATTCATAAGGCGATTCCTTCCCCCATCCGATATTGTTTTCGTCGATTTCCCACGAATAATTTCGATCTCGCGGCAATAAATTCCCCGCCTCTTCCTTACCGTTCAACAAGAAGGAACTTTTCGCTCGCGACTACTTCTGTCTGAGATAAACACGAAAGTTAAGTTACAATGGCGGGATGCTCTGGTCGAAGTTAAACTAGAATTGGGCGTTGCACAAGTGGCTAACAATAAGTTATTAAGCAGTTGTTCAAGTTTTAATTGCATCTCGCAGTACTGGCATTCAGAGGGGAGAGGAGAGAGAGAGAGAGAGAAAGAGAGTGGCCTGGTCTACGTAACGTTGACGAACTTATTCCCAGGATTACCGGTGAATATTCCACGGAACGAGTATTTCTACCGTGCTTTTTTTCCCCATCTCCCCCTCCTCTGCCCCGTTTCGCGCCCCTCCATTTTCAAATATTAACTCTGCGGACCACGAGAATCCCTTGAAATATTAAAAAGTTTGCTCACATGGGCGACCGCGAGAGAATGACAATCTCTCGTGCAATTCCCACCGAATATCTTCTTTATTATTTGATTCGTTTGTTAAAATGTTTTCAAGCGAATTTCTGCCTGAAAAATGATACGAGAAGTCGATTTCCGTTCCGCGAGAATCGCGCGCTAAGAGTTTCATTAAAATCGATTCGATCGATCCGACTTACCGGACCAAGATGCTTATATCCGCTCTGCAAAGCCAAAAGGGATGCGACTGGGGGTCCGCCTTCGATTCGAACTACCCATTCTTCTTGACGACGATCATCGATACTCGTCGCAAATTCATTCATCGACACGATCCAGCAAGCGATAAACAAAACGAAACGAAAATTCACTCCGATATCACCCACGACACCGATCGAAAGCATTTTGATTCGTAATTAAAAATAATCAAATGATCCGATCATAATATCATTGAATCCATCTCGATCGATATTTCTAACGTATTTTTTTTGCACTTGATTTCTTTCAGTTCGACGTTCACACGACGACCAATGGATCTCAAATGACACGTGATCGAACAATGTGTGCGACAATTAGCTCTGATCCTCCTTTTTGCTTGTCGAGGGATTTATTTTCCCCACCAAGCTTCCCTCCTAGGCTGGAAAGTAGCGGTGGAAGGGTGAGCCACGTGATAACGTAAACAAGATACGATTAAGTACGAAGATTGATTGCTTGTCTGTTTTTTAAGCGGAACCATTTGTTTTTTTCCATTCCCTTTCCTTTCGAGCGAGTCAATCTTCGAGTCGAATTTTTTTTCTTTTTTTTTTTTTTTATAATAAATTTTCGATGCAAATTTCTCCCCCTCCCTCTCCCTTTTTTTTTTAAATTTATCTTTCTTTCGTCACGCTTTTTAAATTTCATCATATCCAAGTTCATAAAAGTATCATTTTTTTTTTTTCTTTTTTATTATCGAACTCGCCGGAAACTACAACTCGTGCATAGATCCTTGAGATAGATCGGGATTAATTTCGGTTCTGTTTACTTGGGAAAGCGTTTAGATCAGAGCGAGGAATTTGAAGAGAATATAATACAAAGCGGTCGCTATTAATTCGCAATTTCAATTACAACTCGAGTCAATCTCGCGAGAAATAATTCCCCCGTTTTATCAGATGTCGCGAGGAATCTTCGATAATGTCATTTTTATCCTCCTTTGATCTCGCGAAACAGATAATTAATTCGATTCGCAAGTTCCGTTGCGGAATTTCCGCTCGAATTTTCTTTTAAAACTAATCGCGGATCGGATCTATCGCGGAAATTTTCAATATCTCTCTTATTTATTTACGCGCTCGTTTATTCGTCGATTCTATTTATTTTTTATTTCAATTTGTTTATCATAATTTCAACGGTACACATATACGTTAATTTGTATTTCGCTCGTTTCTTTCATTTCCCTTGAGAAAACTGTTATCCACAAAGGATATTTGTAAAGAAAAAAAAAAAAAAAAAAAATTTACTCGAAATTTCATTTCCTATCCCATTACCCTGGAGACAGGACAAGAAGGGCAGGAAATTTTGAAGGTAGGCTCTCTGTAATATACGAAAAGCCAATCAAATTCTTTAGGATAATCGGTTTAATAACTCGCACGTGGAATTTGTCGGTTATATTGATCAAAAGCCTCGAATTCGTTTTGTCATTTTTTACTTTTATCCTCTTTTTTTTTGTCCAAATTTCCATACAAAATTGAAAACCCGTTTTTCGTTTCTATATCCCTTTTTATTTATTCTTTTTTTTTATTTTATTTATTTTTCACAAATTCACTTCTATTTTCCGAAGTGAGCAGCTTTACAGTGAACAGTTTTCCAGTAATAATTCTAGATAACGTTCTCCCCGCGATAATTGTAATATTTTAAAACTTAAACAGACACGTTCGAAGATATCACGGAGAATTATTAGAAATTATTCATCCGGTATTTAGATAAACTGGCGTAGAGATACAAAATGGAAATCTGGACATAATTGATGGAGGGGAAACGCGGACAGGTAAAGAGGATTTTACAGTTTTCCGTCGAAAACGGCTTCACTTTGTCGGCCTCCGGAGGGTAGTACTTATAAATAAATTCAACCACCGTTACCGGGGGAGGGGGAGGGGGAGGGGCTTCCTTCGCATAGATATACACGCGAAGACACACCGAAGGGTGGCCGATAAAAGCAAAAATACAGAGGCACCAGGCGTCGTAAAGTTGGTAGGGAAAAGAAGAACGGGGGATATCTGTCGATAAAAGGAACTCGTTTTGCTTCTGCTCACGTCGAATTCGGGATAAATCCTTGCCTCCTCTATTTTTTGGAGGATTTTCCACTTTGGCCGGAACATTGTCACGGTATAATTTAAGCTTTTTATTGGCAATTTTTTCGCGAATGAACACAAATGTGATATTTCGCATATTTTTCTTTTTTTTTTTTTTTTTTTTTTCAAGATTTCTTCTCGCAGTCTCGTCACGAAGAGGGATCGAAGGATAGAATAATTTTATTCGTTGATTTGTTGGACGCATTATTACGATCGAGAAAAACGAGATACAACGAGTAATTGGTAGAAATTAGTGGGAAATGTCGAGCCATTCGTTTTCACTTAATTCGCGCCCGTTTCTATCGAGGAAATTCGATTTTCCGTGAACGTGGAGGACCTTGGACCATCGCGTCCATTTCCAGCCCAGAGACTTTCCTATTTTGCTCCGTGCCGACGAGTTCCAACTATTTCGAGGCAATCGTTTATGGCCTCGAAACGTGCATTACTTTCCTGTTAACGGGTAACCGTGTTCGTTGTCACTCGCTGACAGTTTTCAGATAATTCCAGTCGCAATAGTTAAAGGAAGTTTGTATTCTATTAAGGCGCCATGTACATTACGTACCTCCATTTCTGTGCGCGTATTGCATTCCTATTATTGTCGTTTAAATCACGTTTATTAGTCGTATCGACCATGATTATATAGATTCGCTACTAGATCAAAATCGAAAGATAGATAGAAGATCGAAATTTTTTTTTATCTTACGTCGTATTTCCCCCGTTCTTTTTTTCGCACGCGCACGATCTCTTTCTTCTCCTTCATTAAAGAAAAGAAAAAGAAATCTCTCAATTCGGGGAAGGAAAAAGCACTTCTCGCGTATTTCGTTATCGTTGATAAGTTCGATCATCCCCTCGTCTCGTTCGAGGGGCGTAATCAGGTAGTGACGTTTATTAAACAGGCCGCTTGCCCGCTCGAAATAGAACGCGAAAGTAACCGTAGAAAATTGGAAAGTTTCCGCGCGATAAAATCGGACTTAATTTTCAATAAATTCCCTCTCCACTTGGCCCTCAGGAGAAGAGGGGGTGGTGGGCCGGTTGTTCGCCGTACGTGGCGACGACCATCCGAAAAGGGGTGGAGGTTGGAAACAGTGGAAGGAGGAAGAAGGGTCGGAAGGCGCGGAGGAAAGGTAATTTACTTGGTAATTATAAAGTTACCAGCTCTGGCGACGCGCATAGTTGTGAATATTCAAATGCGATTACATCTATGATCGCATAAATTATACGTCTCACCCCCGCTCGCTTCTTGCCCCGCCCTCTGCTCGCGAATTTCATCCTCCTTTCTCTCGTCCTCCTCCTCCCCCTCGTTTTAATGCAACTCGAAAACTTTGACTTTGGTTGGTTTGTACACCAAGGGGAGGTCCTGGCCTGTCCAACTGCTACCACGTTTTTTTTCACTGCTATCGATCTCACGAGTTTCCCGTATTTTTCGAGACGAAACCTACCTCACCTCAACGGTGAGGAAAAAGTTACGATGAAATTGGTCACCTTTGGCTCGTTCGAAAGATCGGCCAAATTCGATTTCTCTCTCGTCTTTCCCGCGGTATGTCCGTAAATGGACATTGATTTTTACGAGTTTGTTCGATAGTTGTTTCTTAACTTGGAAAACTCTCGTCGTTCCAAAGAATTTTCCTTCAGACGTAAATATTATATCTTTTAATCTTTAATATATACCTTTCGTCCACACGAATTATATTCCTCTCCGTCTCCGTAAAATCGATCGAATAACTTGGAAGGATCTCGCGTTTACGTTTCTTTTCCGCGTCTCGTTTCCAGGCTATATTAATTCATCGTGGAAACAGCGATTACATCGTGGGAGAAGATCAAATAGTATTAGGTAATCCCGATCTAATCCCGTCTTAGAGCTTGCTCGACTTAACTCGGACCTAACATACCCGTTCTCGAGCACCGTTCTCTTGCAGTTTGTTCCTTCAACCAGGTATTTATAGATTCAATTAATTAATTCGTTTCCTCCGTTAACACCGTTCCATCGCTTCCTTTCCTCCCCCTTCATTTCTCTATAGTTATTTTTCGTTACAGGAACGTTGGACTCTCGAACGCTGCGAAGATATTTACTTAGCTTTTCGCTATGAGAGAGGAGGGAGAAAAAGAGATGCTTTAAACACAGCGAATACCGGTGTATTACAAGCGGGAGCTGTATCGAGTCAGATAAGAGAGTTCCCTCGCCTTATCGTCGCTTTTTTACCGTCTACCGTCGCGAGACAACAGGGAACTGTCCACGAAACAATATTTTTCACCCACCTTTCTAGCGTCACCTTTTTTTCTCCTCTCCTTTCTCCTTTTTCCTTTTTCCTTTCTTTTTATCTTCCCCCCTTTTCCCCCCTTTTGCCCCGTAGAACGCGAAGATCTCGTTAACCGTTAAAGAACGAGTCTCGTGTATTATCCAGTCCTTTCGCAGATAACAACGAGGGGTACAACAACCCTTGTGTTGTGGTGTTATCTTCATCGAATAATTAAGAATTGTTTAATTGTCCTCGAGACTGGTTATCGCGAAAAAGAAAAAGATGAAAAAAGAAAATTCGTCTCGTAAATTGAGCAGAAGAATTCGCATATCTATCCATATCTCTTAAACCATTTCGATTCGTTCTCATTGCGCGACACGTTCCATTCTTTTCCAATCTGTTTCCAACGAAAATTAATATCTCTATTAACGATCGATGGAACGGAATATTTTTGTAAGGGAACAGATTCGGAATGATCGTCTGTTGGTCAACGCGATCGCGTCGTTGTAAAAGAGTACGCCACACGTGTCGACAATTGACTCGAGTTTATGTATTTGCACATGTGGCACAGCCACAATGGGGATCGCTCTTCTGGATTTACGAGGAGGAAGCTTTAAACTTGGGAATCTAATGGAATTTCTTGGAAGATGTTTGGAATACTCGTTGCAGGAAATTTACGAAGATTGAGAATATAATTGATTGGTGTAATCTCGGTTGGATTATCATCATCATCATCCGAACCGGTTGATCCGAGAACATTTTCTCGAAGAGAGGGAATTTTAATCGTCCGCTTTTCCGAAGCGATGAATTTTGTTCTCGCGGACCAAAGGGACCGCGGGTTCA